GCGTCTCCATCGCGGCGCGCTGCTGCAGCGTCTGCCGCCCAGATTGGGTAGGCGGGACACGAGCAGGGGCAAGGGAAAATGCGGACCCCAAGAATATGCACCACCACCTCGTCCATCCCTCCCCCCCCTCCTCCACCCTCAGCGCCCTTTCCTCTCTCCTGGGAGAAGGAGGCGCTCAGGGAAGCGGTTGTGGTGTATGCCTATACAACCACTCTGCGGGTGATAAGGTTTTTTGTTTTCGGGGGGGGCCAGCAAGGGGCAACAGTGCTCATGTCCTGCAGCGCCTCCACATTATCATCGAGCATTTCGGCTGGCAAAGCCTGGCCCCTCGTAGCGAAGTCGAAGGAAGTGCGTGACCGAAGTGGGCGCGTTCGCGGCCCCCCCGCGTGCCGAGTGCAACAGAAGCCTTGATCGGAAATCCCTGAATGGTAAAAGAATTGACGGGGGCGGACCCAACATCTCACTCCATTGATATCATTATCGATTCCATTATCGATCTCATTCGACCGATTTCACAATCGATCTCACAATCGATCTCACTATCGATCTCTCAATCAATCTCACATTCGGTCTCACTATCGATACCACTATCGATATCACAATCGATCCCCAAACGATCTCACATTCGGCCTCACTATCGATATCACTATCGATCTCACTCGGTCGATCTCACAATTGATCTGACGATCGAGCTCACAATCGATCTCAGCATCGATCTCTCAATCGATCTCACAACCGACGTCATCATCATCATCATCATCATCATCACCATCACCATCATCATCATCATCAAAACCAACAACGACAGCATCATCATCATCATCATCATCATCATCATCATCATCATCATCATCATCATCATCAACGTCATCAGCATCACCACCATCATCATCACGATCATCATCATCACCATCATCACCATCATCACCATCATCATCGTCATCATCATCACCATCATCACCATCATTACCATCATCACCATCACCATCATCACCATCATCACCATCATCATCAGCATGGCCATCATCATCATCACCATCAGCACCACCATCACCATCATCACCATCATCACCATGATCATCATCATCATCATCATCATTATCATCATCATCAGCATCATCATCATCATCATCATCATCATCACCATCATCATCATCATCGTCGTCATCATCATCGTCACCACCGTCATCATCGGGACACCGACGGGACGACGGCGGGAAACCGGATCTGACTATCGATCTCATTCGATCGATCTCACAATCGATCTGATGATCGATCTAACAATCAATCTCACGATCGATCTCACAATTGATCTCTCAGTCGGTCTCACTATCGATATTACTATTTATCTCACAATCGATCTCACAATCGACGTCATCGTCATCATCAACATCAACATCAACATCATCATCATCATCATCAACATCGTCATCATCATCACCACCATCATCATCACCATCATCATCACCATCATCACCATCATCACCATCATCATCACAATCATCACCATCATCACCATCATCACCATCATCACCATCATCACCATCATCACCATCATCACCATCATCATCGTCATCAGCATCACCATCATCACCATCATCACCATCATCATCATCATCACCATCATCACCATCATCATCATCATCATCATCAGCATCAGCATCATCATCATCATCATCATCATCATCATCATCATCATCATCAACATCATCATCATCATCATCATCATCATCATCATCATCATCATCATCACCGTCATCACCGTCATCATCGGGACACCGACGGGGCACCGGCGGGACACCGGCGGGACACCGCGGGCCACCGGACGCCAGAAGGGAGTCATTTGGTCTGGCCGCGCCTCAGCCACAGCGGGACAACGGCGGGACACCGCGCGGCACCGATTGCCGGAAGGGAGCCATTTGGTCCGGCCGCGCCTCAGCCACAAGAGACTTTCCTCTCGCCCGCCCACGCAGCTTCGCCTCGCCCGCACGCACGGCACGCACGAACACGAAACCGAAATCGATTTCCTGGTGGGGGGGCTCTCCGTTCCACTTCGATCTTACCCCCCAACCTCCGACCTTTGGGCCCCGCAAGACAGCCGTTCACTGTGGGGGGTCCGCGCGGATTTCGTGGATCTGCGCGACGCGCGCCAAGGGCGGCGCCAGAGGCGCCGCCAGGGGGATCCGGCGCAGTTGCAAGATATCCGCGAGCAACTCCGAGAATCAGTTCTTCAGCAGTTTCTTCTCGAAGGAGGTCTCGCGCCCGCGGCCGTCGCGAAGCGGCCCCAAGGGGCCCCGAGGCGGCCTTGCGAGGGCGCCGCGGCTGGAGGAGCCAGACGGGTACGGTGTCCAGAGCCCCTGGCCCATTCTGAGGCGCGCAGGACTCGTCGTGGCCCACCACGGTGGCCAGTTCTAGGTCGGGCATGTCCCCTAAAAACATTCCAAAATAGTCCAAACACTCCATATAACAAACACATTACAAAAAAAACATCCCAAACACTCAAAAAAACATTCCAAAAACACGTGTCCGTTTTAAGTAAGCACCCCAAAAACATTCCAACATAGTCCAAATATATCATATATAGATAAGACATCGTCCCCTGACTATTTTTATAATCATTTCTGCAGACTCACCCTGCAGAGGGACAGGCCCGACTTGCGGCCAGCTCCGTGCGTTGGGAAGTGCGGCGTGGTCGCGGTGGCGCTTGCCGACCCCTCGGGGAGGGCGGCTGGTTGCGGTCCGCGCGCGGGGAGCAGCGGGCGGGGCAGCGGGTGCGCGACGCCACCGCGTGCCCCTCGTCCGGCTGCCAGGGAGCCGATCGGCTCGCGCCGGGCAGCTCCGAGCCGCAGCCCGCGCGGACCAGGAGTCGGGGGGTCTTTGCCGCGCGCGCCGTGGAGGATGCCACGATGCGAAGGTCGACCTGCGGGATCTCGCCATCGCTCGGACGTCCAAAGTCCCGTGCGTTTTTCTGCATCGTGCATGTTTTTTCGTTGGTTGCTCGATGGTCCAGGATGGTCCTCGACGGTCCTCGCCGAGGAAAATGCACACGTCCGAGCGATGCCAGGAGATGTGCGGGGGCGTCTCGCAGATGGGCTCTCTCGTCCGCCGCACTGGCAGCGTGCTGGCTGCGGGCCAGCTGCAAGCGCGCACCGCCCCCGATGGCAGCAGGTCTCCGCCCAAGTTTGCTCTCCGCCCCCCTGCTGCGCACAGGCTGCTTGTGCTTGAATTTCGTCTTCGCGCGCGCGCTCCTCCTTCAGCGCCGCGCGCGGCGTGCCGATGCGGCGATTGGTTCGCGGAACGCAGGTGCGACGCAAGAAGGGGAGCAGGGGAGCAGGGGAGGAATGGCAGGGTGACCAAGATCCGTACAGATCCACTCGCGGGCGGCCAAGAGGGGGGGGCGTCCGAGAGCGGGGGGCGCAGCGCAGGGCCGGCGGCAGGTGCGCGGTCCAGGGGGGGGAGCCAGGGACGCAAGGAGATAGGAAGAGGCGCCACGAGATCTGGGGAGACATCGTGGCCCACGCCATGATACCTCCCCCCTCCCCTTCCCAGAGATCCGATGCCGTGACTTTTTCAATGCGGGGTCCCTGGAAGTCTCGACCCATTCCCCGGGACGGGTTTTTCATCCCGAGTCGATGCTTGACGCTCCCGGGGCCCGGCGAGGGCCCCTCGAGGCCGAAACATGCGAAAAACCTGCGTCTTGACTTCTCCAAGACGTTGGATCTCTGGGTTGCCCCCCCCCCCCTCTTGGCCGCCCCCAGTCCACGGCCCCTGGCGGGGGCCATCCCAGGCGCCCAGGAGCGGCGGCGGCGCCCCCACCTGGCGCCTCGCCAGGGAGGAGCGCGCACGGCTCCCGGGTCCAGGAGGGGGGGCCAGGGCGAGGGGGGGCCACGCGCGAGCCCTGCCCCCTGCCCCCACGACTTCTGGAGGGGGGACTCCGCAGAAGCCCTCGCGCCTCCTGAGAGGCTGCTCGCGTCTTCGGGGGAGGCCCAGAAAAGACTCCTCGGAAGGCCGGGGGGCTTCCGGGCCTTCCGAGAAGGCATTCTCCGTCTCACTTCCCCCCCCTCGCTCGCAGCCGACTCTCGATATCAGGCGACCTCGAGTAGGGTGGGGCTCCCTTCGCTCGGGAGCTCCCGAGCGACGGAAACCCCACCCTTACCCCCTCAGAGATCGTGGGGGGGCAACGGGGGGCGGGGCGAGGCGACGGCCTCTCGGCAGCTGGCCGGCGCCGCCCGTCCTGCGCAGCCGCCGCCGCGCAAAGGGCGGGCAGCGGGCGCCCCGCCCGAGGGGGGGTCGGCGGTGCCGCCGGACCGCCAGATGGGAGGCAGACGCCGGAGGCTCACGCGAAACTGCGGGAGGCGACCGGGCCGGAAGCGTCCTGCGGACAGCGGGCACGCCGCGCGTCACAAGAGCGCCCCGCGATCCGTGGTCGTGCACACTTTTTGCTTCCTGCGTTCATTTCATCACGTACGCTGGCGGAGCCACGAGTCCGCGCGCCGGCGCGGGCCGCGGCCGACGGGCTCCCCATGGCCCCGCTCCTCGGAGTCGCGCCGCCCTGCTGCTCTGAGGCGGCAGCCGGCGCAGGGAAGGCGGTGGCCTCTCACACCCCACCCCACGAAACAGCCGATGCCGCCAGATTGCTTATCGACGGTGATACCTACCCGATCGACCTGAGATTGAGATGGCGAGCGAAAATAAGATCGAAGATGAAGGGAACAAAAATTAGCCTGGCGAAGGACCCAACCATATGCGGCCACTGGGACCTTAGGTGGAGCTCCCTATGGGGCCATGCGAGTTCCGCCACTGGGACCTTAGGTGGAGCTCCCTATGGGGCCACGAAACGTGTGAGGGGTGTGCCGAAGCAGAGACATGCGGAGAGCAAAAGCCAGGATGGGGGAGGAGGGAGGAGGGGGAGGAAGGAAGGAGTGACGCGGGGCGCTGTCTCTTCAAAACGAGGACCCAACAGCACAGGATGGTTGGGAAAAATATTAGAGGTCCAGGCCATGCCCCGGGCGGACGAGCGGATCGGGCGTGCGAGGGCGGCAGGCATGGGAGCCCCTGCCCACGGCACGCCCGCCAGGAAGCCGTGCGCGGCGGGAAGCCCCCCGCGGGGCTGCTCCCCGCGGCCAGGGGGACGGGAGAAAAAAGCGGGGGGGGAGGAGGGCCTCGAGGGGGGCAAGGGGGCAGCGAGGGGGGGGGAGGAGGGCCTCGAGGGCGAGGGGGGGGAGGAGGAGGGCCTCGAGGGGGGGGGGGGGGCAGCGAGCGCTGGACGAGAGGCAGAGGCGCGAGGGCCCCCGGGCGCGGAAGACCGGCAGAGGCCTGCCGTCGCGACTTTGCTTTTGCGGCTCGAGGGGGCCTACCTCCCCCTCCTCCCCCTCCTCCTCCTCCTCCTCCTCCTCCTCCTCCTCCTCCTCCTCCTCCTCCTGGCAGCCTGGGCGCGACGCGAGCCGGGAGGCAGAGACGCCACGAGCGCAGGCGGTCGCAGGCCCGCCCACGGGGCGGCGCGGGGAGCGCCCGGCGCGCACCGCCGGAGGCTTCTGTGCCGGCACCTCGTCTTCGACGGAAGCCACACCTCCGCGCCTGCGGGCCGCCACGCGTGAACCCTGCCCCTGGCCCGTGCAGGTCAGACTTCTGCTAGGGCTCCCAACTTCGCGCTTCGCGCTGCGCGGAGCGCGAAGCGCGAATAGCTTCGCGCTCTCGCGCCGCCCTCCCAAAGGGAGAATAGGAGGACGAGGAGGAGGGGGAGAAGGAACGAGGACCGCGAAGCGCGAAGCGCGAATAACTTCGCGCCCTCGAGGGAGCCCTTGCTTCTGCAGAGCCAGCTTCGGCTCAGAAGTTGAAGCATGTCTGCAGCCAGATGAGGCGCTCGGCGGCGACAAGAGGGGCGAATAGCCCAGGGGGCGGGCATCACACGCATTCGCCCGGGAGCCTCTTCGAAGACATAGATCATCGGCGCACCGCAGATACATGTATTGCTCTCCCCTGGGCTACTCGCCCCTATCGTCGCCTCTGAACCACGGCAGGGGTGTCCGATGCCCCGGCGTCGCTAGGAACCGCAGGGGTCGGGTTCGCAAGCGGTCGCAGAGCTGCGGGGCGAGGCGGCTGCTCGCGGCAGCAGGTCGGCCCGGGGCTGTCGGGGACTGCGGCTGCAGCGTCTTGAGCTGCGCGGCAACGCGTTGCTGGCGCGCGTGACTTGGTGTCCCCCTCCTCTCCTTTCTTTCCAGTTTCGTGAGGTGTGGCTGTCACACGCACTGCCTGCCCGCTGCCGTTGGGTCACCAAAACACCTAGCAGCGCACACATGCATGAGCAGGGGCTCCGAGAGGAAAGAACGTCGTGATACTGCCGATCGCGTGCTGAGCGCCAGAAGCTCCGCTGCAAAAGCAAAAGAGAAATTGCCCAAATACTTGTCGCCTCATTTGGTGAGACTTCGGGTTGCGCGCAGACAGGCCCCCACGCCGTGTTCGTCCTGAGCCGTTTCGTCCTGAGTTGTTGTTTAACAATCCTGGGCACTGGCGAAAAATAAGTATCCCGGCAAAGCAACCTAACAGCGATGTGTAGGAGCATATCTGGAAGCATTCCCCTTAAGATTCAGATGAGAATCCAGTTCTAGAATTCTGCTGTTCTCGCAGTCGTAGTCGCATTCGCGATGACAGTGGCAGTGGCAACGGCAGTCGCAGTCACAGCCTCAGCCTCAGCCTGCCTCAGCCTCAGCCTCAGCCTGCCTCAGCCTCAGCCTCAGCCTGCTTCAGCCTCAGCATCAGTTTGCCTTCAGCCTCGGCCTCAGCCTCAGCCTGCCTCAGCCTCACCCTGCATGAGCCTCAGCCTCAGCCTCAGCCTGCCTCAGCATCAGCCTGCCTCAGCCTCAGCCTCAGCCTGCCTCTGCCTCAGACTCAGCCTGCTTCAGCCTCAGCCTCAGTCTGCCGTCGGCCTCGGCCTCAGCCTCAGCCTGCCTCAGCCTCAGCCTGCATCAGCCTCAGCCTCAGCCTCAGCTGCCTCAGCATCAGCCTGCCTCAGCCTCAGCCTCAGCCTCAGCCTCAGCCTGCCTCAGCCTCGGTCTCAGTCTGCTTCAGCCTCAGCCTCAGTCTGCCTACAGCCTCGGCCTCAGCCTCAGCCTGCCTCAGCCTGAGCCTGCCTCAGCCTCAGAATCAGCCTCAGCCTGCCTCAGCCTCCGCCTGCCTCAGCCTCAGCCTCAGCCTCAGCCTCAGCCTGCTTCAGCCTCAGCCTCAGTCTGCCTTCAGCCTCGGCCTCAGCCTCAGCCTGCCGCAGCCTCAGCCTGCATGAGCCTCAGCCTCAGCCTCAGCCAGCCTGCCTCAGCATCAGCCTGCCTCAGCCTCAGGCTCAGCCTCAGCCTCAGCCTCAGCCTCAGCCTGCTTCAGCCTCAGCCTCTCAGCCTCAGCCTCAGCCCTCAGCCTCAGCCTCAGCCTGCCTCAGCATCAGCCTGCCTCAGCCTCAGCCTCAGCCTGCCTCAGCCTCAGCCTCAGCCTGCTTCAGCCTCAGCCTCAGTCTGCCTTCAGCCTCGGCCTCAGCCTCAGCCTGCCTCAGCCTCAGCCTGCATCAGCCTCAGCCTCAGCCAGCCTGCCTCAGCATCAGCCTGCCTCAGCCTCAGCCTCAGCCTGCCTCAGCCTCAGCCTCAGCCTGCTTCAGCCTCAGCCGCAGTCTGCCTTCAGCCTCAGCCTGCCTCAGCCTCAGCCTCAGCCTGCTTCAGCCTCAGCCTCAGCTGCCTTCAGCCTCGGCCTCAGCCTCAGCCTGCCTCAGCCTCAGCCTGCATCAGCCTCAGCCTCAGCCTCAGCCTGCCTCAGCATCAGCCTGCCTCAGCCTCAGCCTCAGCCTGCCTCAGCCACAGCCTCAGCCTGCTTCAGCCTCAGCCTCAGTCTGCCTTCAGCCTCGGCCTCAGCCTCAGCCTGCCTCAGCTCTCAGCCTGCCTCAGCTCAGCCTGCCTCAGCATTCAAAATGTGGCCCGGGAATGGAGTTCTGGGAACTCGAAGAACACGAAGTGGCCTACAGTTGGCTCCGGGCATTCAAAATCATGCCCAGGAATGAGTTCTGGGAACTCGAAGACCACGAAGTGGCCTACAGTTGGCTCCGGGCATTCAAAATCATGCCCAGGAATGGAGTTCTGGGAACTCGAAGACACGAAGTGGCCTACAGTTGGCTCCGGGCATTCAAAATCATGCCCAGGAATGGAGTTCTGGGAACTCGAAGACCACGAAGTGGCCTACAGTTGGCTCTAGGCATTCAGAATGTGGCCCGGGAATGGAGTTCTGGGACCTCGGAGACCACGAAGTGTGAACTGTTTGCTTAAAACGACTTCCGCGGGTTCTCCCCAGCACCCGCCCAGACCCCCCTGGCGAGTCAAGATGCTCTCTTTTGGCACTACTAGAAACCTATCAGTCCTCGCTGTTCGGTAAAAATTAACAATCCTGGGCCCTGGCGAAAAATATAAAACTCCAGATGGATTTGTCTGAGAAATTGGATGTCTGGGTCGTGGTAAGGCTTCGCTCGGTGGCAACTAATGGGAGCCTCGCACACCATCCTGTCGGCTCTTGCGAATCGACGCTAATCGACGCTAGCCGACGCTAAATCGGCGCTGTCTCGTCGACTCCCAGACGCTGATCGACGCTAGTCGACGCCAAAGACGGCATGAATAAGGGTACGCCAAGCTCCCATGATTTGCTACCGAGGCTTCGGGCTGCGCACAGCCCGCCCCCCAAATCCCAGGTGGTCCCAGCCGGCCTCCACTCGGGAGCGGCCAAGAGGGGGGCGTCCAAGCGGGGGGGCGGGGGGCACAAATCGTGGCCGGCGGCATGTGCGCGGCCCGGGGGGGGGGGGGACGCCAGGGACGTAATGAAATAAGAAGAGGCGCCGTGAAATCTGGGGAAAGATCATGGCCCACGCCATGATATCCCCCCCCCCTAGTCATCACCCCCCCCGTGGCCGCCCCCGATAGGTGGTCCCAGCGGGTGCTCCTCGGGAGGCCTGTCGATGATCCTCGGAACGTGTGTTAGCGCCAACGCGCGTTTGCCCACCGAGGCCCTTCACTACGACGAAGGCGGTGTGATGATCGACTGGTTGGGTCGAACGGGGTAAACCTAGGGCTCCCAACTTCGCGCTTCGCGCTCCGCGAAGCGCGAAGCGCGAATAACTTCGCGCTCTCGCGCCGCCCCCCCAAAGGGAGAAAAGGAGGACGAGGAGGAGGGGGAGGAGAAACGAGGACCGCGAAGCGCGAAGCGCGAATAACTTCGCGCCCTCGAGGGCGCCCTTGTAAACGCACACATTGGGCTAACACACGTCCCGAGGATCATCCAGCCTGTGGAGGCCAGCCCGGACTGCCGTAGGACCTGGGCCAGAAGAGCATCCCTCAATAAGGGCTCCCAACTTCGCGCTTCGCGCTGCGCGAAGCGCGAAGTGCGAATAACTTCGCCCTCTCGCGCCGCCTCCCAGGGGAGAAGAGGAGGACGAGGAGGAATCGGAGCCGAACCGCGAAGCGCGAAGCGCGAATAACTTCGCGCCCTCGAGGGCGCCCTTGCGTAGGACCTGGGCCAGAAGAGCACCCCTCGAGCACATGAGGCTCCCCGTCGGCCTGAGCCAGCAGAATCTCCAGGAGCGCCTCCCCAGAATACGCAAGAACATCCAACGAGCACGGAGAACTCTGGGGCACCCTCCCCGACCCGACCTCGATCTTAACAGCACCTGGGTCCGACTGTATCTGGGGGGCTTTTGTGCGCAGCCCAGACATCAACTACCTCACCACGACTCCCACTTACCACGACTACTTTTGTCCGGCTTATACCTTACCACGATTCCAACATCCAACGCCTCAGACGAAATTAAGACCCAAGCTGTTGGTGGTCGTTCTCAGCACCTCTCGGGGTCTGCGCCAGGACCCCGCGACTGCCAAAGAACGACGCGGAGCGAAAAGCCGGCCCCGAGGGTCGGGACTTCTGGCGACCCGCGCGGAACAGAGCAAGACTCCGCACGCCCGGGGATCTGCTGTGAGGGGAACAAAAAATGACATAAACATAACAACTCGGAGGTCCGCGCGGATTTCTCGGATCGGCGCTGACCCCCCTCCCCGGCGAGCGGAGCGCGCCAGGGGCGGCGCCGGAGGCGCCGCCGGGGGGCCCCGAGAAATCCGCGCGGACCTCCGAGTTTGTATATTTATGTCACTTTTTGTTCCCCTAGCTGTCCCCCTCCGCTCCTCCGCCTCCTCTTCGCCCCCCTCGGCGGGCAGGGGTGGGCTGGGCCTCCGGTGCCCGGCCGCTCTCTCTCGGGGCGGGACTTCTGACATCAATGAGGGGGTCCCAGGACACATAAATAAAGAATACGCACAAACAAAAGGACTCCCTATATCTTCCCATATTTTCTAAGTTTTCGTCTTCCCCCCCCACGTCCCATATTTTCCTGGGACTCGACGGTTCATTGTGTCTGTGTGTGTTTTCTCGTCCTGATTCAACTTCCTACAAGAGCCTATGGAATCAGGGATCTCAATAAAACGGACTACCTACCAAACCACCCCAACCCAACCCGAAGACCCGAAGCTCGCCCGAGTCTCGGGATGGAGGGGGGGTACGGGCTTCAGATGTGTTTCCCATGTTCCCCGACCCCCCCCATTGAAAGTGGAGGGCTAATCGGGGCCCTCGGGTTGGCTTGGGGTGATTTGGTCGGCGGCGAAAAATGGGTTCGAGCAGTTCCCCAAGAGCCAAAGACGTCCCCTCGCGCACGGCGCCCCGAAGAAGTCTCCCCGCGCGCGCCGCGTGCGCTGTGCGGCGGGGCAGGTGGCCGCCGCTTCCCCCCGCGGCGGGCGGGACGCTGCGGAGAGGCCCGCGGGACAGCGCACGGGCGGGGGCAGCGGCGGCGCCGCCCCGCTTCCTGCCAGGCGAAAGGGGGGGCACAGACACCAGAAAATGCCGCCGAGCAGACCGCCGTTCGTTTGCGGGTGCAGTGGCCGCTCCCTCGCCCGCGCGCGCTGTCTGCCGCAGGCGCCACCAAGAGTGACAGGCGTCGCGTGAGATGGCAAAGCAGAGCTGCACCTGTTCAGCCCTGTGTGAACCAACGGAGGAGGAGGAGGAGGAGGAGGAGGAGGAGGAGGAGGAGAAAGAGGAGGAGGAGGAGGAGGAGGAGGAGGAGGAGGAAATGGCGCGTGGGCGCCAGGTCCACGGATCGGGGCCTCGGGGACCGCAGCCCCCGAAACATGGCGCCGATGCCGCCCGATTTGGCGGCGGAGCTCGCCGCTTGGGCATGGAAACGGGACCCGTCGCTAATCCACTCGCCTTAATCCATGTCTGTGCCTCATCGGTTCAACATGTCATCTTTCTATAGTTTGAGCCACGATGGACTACAGACAGAACTCTGGATCACCTCTGGTATTTCTCTCTCCTTAAACTCCACTTATAAATCAAGCCCGAAACACACTTAAGTTCCAGGGAATTTCGGAAACAGGGCGCTGGCTCGAGACATCCGAACACCCCTCCTCGGCCTTCGTCGCCGCAGCTGGGCGGAGGCGGAGAGCGAAAGCCCCAAACGAAACCAGCGCCTCGATCATTTTTCACGAGACGCGCGCCGGCAAACAGCCGGCGTCAAACATCACAGTACACGGTGCCTCACGCTACCGTCGAACTTCATCGCGAAGCAGATCAGCTTCATCAACAGCTCCATCGTGTCTTGGTCGAAGGCCTTCGTGAACAGGTCCGCCGGCTTGCAGTGCCCCTCGACCGTCTTCAGCAACGGCCTTTTACTCTGAATACGTTCCTGCAGCCATAGAAATCGAACATCCAAGTGTCGAGCAGCCCCCAGTCCCTGTCGGCTTGCAGTTCCTCTCGCGGCTGAGCTATCGCTGAAAATGTAAAGCTCCATCTCGCAGCCCACCTCAACTCCAAGGTCGGCCAAAGTGGCCTGCGCTCCGAAACCGTGACAAGCTCCACGCAGTAGCGCATAGCACTCGGCCCCGCCGCTGCTCAAACTCACCGTGGATTGGACCGCACTGCCATAGTTCAGCAGATGCGTTCCCCATAGAATGGCCATTCCATGTCGGGAACGCCTCGTAATCGGATCACCCGCGTAGTCGCTGCCACAGTAAACACAAACCTTTCTAGGCAGCTTCTGAGCGGGAAGCAGCAACCTTCCAGCGGGGCGCTTCTTCAAGTAGCGGCCAATGCGCTTCAGATCCTCCATGTGGGTCTCCTTCGGCCCCTTCATGCGTCTAACCTGCATGCTCGCGCTGTAGCTGATGTCGGGCCGGCCCGGACTCAGGTACATGGTCCGCATGGTCACGCCGCGGTAGGTCTTCGCCTTCTCGTCGCCCAGCTTCGGCGAGGTCTGGTTACTACTCGGGATCTCCGCGACAGACCTCTTAACAGCCGGGGTAGTCACCTCCTTCGCATTCTCCAAGCCCAGGTCCCTGATCACCTTCCTCACGCGCCGGGTGCCCGCTTTGAGGTAGGCCGAACGCTCGAAGGGGTTCCAGATCAACACCCGGTTGAGACAAACCACGCTCTGTTCATTCAGGGGCCTGCTGCTCAGAATACCCGCGACCTTAAAATCGCAGCGTGAAAGCACGTCATCGAACCACCCCTCCAGGGACTTGCGCATAAGCACACCAAAGGCGTCGCCGTGGACCTCCGCTTGCATATGACGCTCGGCGTGGTACAGCAGCGCTGGGTTCGAGACGCCATTCTTGAAGCTGTGCGAGCTCGCCAGGCCGATGTAGTCGTCTTGCCACACATGACTTGCGCCCACTGTGCCATGCATCGTCTTGAGTAGCCTGCCCACCATGGGTTCCAGATCGTCGTAGGTCTCCTCCTCGGGCAACTCCACGTGCACTTCGCGATTCACATCACCATAGAAGTGCGCCCTCGAGATGTCGTACAACTTGTAAATGATCTCCCTGCGTCGCCGTCGTGGTAGGCGTCGTTCACGCGGCCGACGAAGATGGTCACCATCACCTTGAACGCTTCCAGCGGTGGCATGGCCGAGAATAGTTCGGCTTGATCTGGTCGATCTTCGGACCTCATAGCATTCTTAATCTCCTTCGCGACCAGCCTCGAACGACACCGCGGTTGAGTTCGGTCGCCCTTGTTCGCGTCGACCCTGCCTTCTTGCCGTTCTCGAGCATCTCGCGTCTAGGTACCTTCTTCCATACCTGCCTCCCGCGTCACCAATCCAGTTATTCTTGCCTCGCGGCTCGCACACCCTCGGAGTCCAAAATCTCGCCCGTGAGATCGTGGATGAAGTAGTAGTCCTGGTACTCAGTGAACACCTCAGTGTCTTCTTCATGTGGGTGTGGTCCTCCACAGAGAGCTGCAAGTAGGTTAAGCCCTTCTCGTCGTCGAAGCTCCTCTCGTAAGCCTTTGAGAATAGCTGCCACCAAGCTCGGAGGGTATCGTTGTGCATGTTTGGCGCGTCCGTCAACCAGATGAACTTGGCGAGCGAGTTCTCCGGTCGGACCCCTGGGGCACTGGCAGTAGCCTTTGAGGATCTCGGCGAGCAGCTCGCTGTTAGTGAGCCACCCGGTCTCCTTCCGAACGAAGCCCAACTTTCCGTTGGAGTCGGTCGCCTGCATGTGCCAGCGGCACATAGGTCCATGGACTAAGAATACGCCTGCCAACTGTATGACCCCCTGAACGCTTGGGCGGCGCCAGATACTCGCTGACCAAGGTGCTTCGCGAAGAAATAACTTCCCTGCCTTGTAGCGCTCCGTGCAGATCTCCATGCTGAAATTGAAGTGCGTCTCGCCTTCCAGGATCTCCGCCCCCACGATCTTCGGGTCTCGCTTTCAGTCCGAGAGCGCCCGCGAATTGCTGGATGGCGTGCACGGGGGGCCGGTGCTCGTCAGGAGCGGGTCTTCGTCCTTCAGCTGCTTCTTGCACTTCGTTCGCTGCTCGGGAAATCGCAGACCCCAACCAGTCTCGACATCCACTGCCAGGCCGTGCGCGAGGCCGTGCCTGAACGTCATCTCTGCAAACCTTCTCGGCGAATAAACCTCGGCAGTGTCCACTGCGCACATCTCGGTAAGAAGTGACGCGATCTCCTCAGCCTGCTCTGCGTCATTCACGTCGGCGTTCGTCCGCATCTCGAACATCACCAGCTCGTAGATCATAATAAACGCGCGGCCTTTGTCGTAGCCGTTGATCCGCTCCAGGAAATCGACGTCCATCGATCCATCTGGAGCCTGGCTCTGTCTCGATACCGATGCCGATGCTGAACTTGATGACGCTGCCTGGGACATCGCTGTGTCAACCAGGTCCCCCACGTTCATCTGCGCCCCCTCCTGGGGCGCCGCTCGCTAGAGCGCAAGCCGAGCTTCAGCAGTTGCAGGTGCTGACCTTCCTCTCGCATCGCCTCGTACCCGGGTAGCTCGTCCAGGGTCGGGCGCGTCTCCCCGGCACTTCCTGGCAGCGCTCGGTTCGCTTCCACTGCCTCCGGCCGGCACCACCGCCATCTCGTTGCCCCTCGGCTCTTGGGGCAGGAGCTCGATCGCCGTCTCCAGAGGGCGGCGGTAGGGCAGCTTGGTCTTCTCCAGCTGCTTCTCGACCTCGAACACCTCGCCCGCGTACTGCTTGGTCTCCGGCTCGAAAGTGGTGTTCGGCAACTCGTGCTCGATCTGCATCGCTACCCATCATCAGCTCTGCGATCCTGTCGCGGCACTCGTCGCTGTGGGATTTCGTGATCTTGCCCTTCTGCGTCAGCTCTAGACATCCTGGACAGCCCGCAGTGGCACCATACTTCTCGACGTCGCGGCGTAGGACGCACCTCGCTCGCGGGGCTCGCGGCTCCATCCGAAAGGCAGCCACTGCCGGCGCTCTCGCCAGAGCGGGCGCCTCCTCCTCCGGGCGAGTCGCCCAGGGAATTCCTCGAAGGGCTGCCCAGTCCTTGCCGCCCCAGGCTTGCTCCTTCGGCAATTTCTTGAAACCTTGGGCCTTCTCCACACCGCCAACCGCCATGACGAACAGGGCCCCCGTCCGCATGTGGTTGCCCAGGAAGTTCCCGGACTTCATGCGCTCCTCCACGGTGCTCCTGCGACCTCCTGGCGCGAGCGGCCTGTACATCACCCGCTCGCCAAACTCTGCTTCCAGCTTCTTCCAGTCGCGGCCTGAGCGCCGCCGTTCTCTAGCGACGCCGTCGGCTCCGCGTCGGCACCGGCCAACGCAGGCCGCGGCGCACTGGGGCAGCCACTTCAAGATCGGGCGGCCATCATCCAACTTCCTGCCGAGCTTGGCCTCCAGCGCGTACCTGGTCGCCCCGACCTGCCTCTTGACCTCTCGCACGGTAACCTCGATGCCTCCGTTGCTCTGGTGCTCTCCTGCTGGCGATTCTCGAGGCAGGAACTCCACCGTCGGCGTCGCCACCGCGACCGCCGTCTTGAGCGCCACGATCGCGGGCCCCTCGTCGCTCTGGAAGATCAGCCTGCGGCAGCCGAGGTGCAGGGTGAAGCTCATCAGAATCTCGATCATGAAGTTGGTGACCTTCTTGCCCGGAACCGCTGTCCAGTAGGGCAGCTTCGTCTTAGAATCTCTGGCCACCAGCGTCGGGAAGTTGCCCTCCTGGCCCTCGCCCCCCTCGCCGGCCTTCTCGCTCACGACCGCGAAGTCGATGGCCACAACCGGATCTGCACCTTCGCGAGCTTCAGCCTGTAGTTCATGAGGTTGGCCAAGCCCTCGAGCTGCACGGCAAAATTCACACCAATCTCGAAATACGGCGTGACCTGCAGCCTCGCGTTGGTCAACTTCAATTCGAGTAGGTAGTCGCTTTCGCCCGTGCACTTTCGCCGGCGCAACCTCCGGAGGATTACCGTCATAGTCCTCGTCGTCTCCGATCCCTTCTCGTACTTCAGCTGGCTGGGGAGCGGGGTTTCTACCCCCTAGCGCTGCCACTGGTGGTCTTACGGGCGGCCCCGCTGCCGGCGATTCCGGCGGCTCCGAGGCGCTCGCGCCCCCCACGGGACCGCTGCCTGCCAACGAGGGCCCGCGCTCGCCGGCGCCCACGGACAGAGCTCGGCAACAGGAGCCGACCCCGACGAAGTGGCACCGACAGGTTGGTCCATCAGCACGCCCATATTGTAGACTCCGTTCTGCAGGCACAGCGGCACGATGCCCTCGTTGCCCTCAGCCACGCACTGGTCGATCACCTGGTGGATCTTCTGCGTGAACTCGCTCTCCTTCAGGGCGTAGCCGCCGAAGGCGCCGACCCACGTGAAGTGGCCCTTGGCGGCGGTGGCCGAGGCGGACAGGAGGGCTTGCCGATGTTCGCGCGCCTGCCGTTCAGGAACATACTCTCTCCGTACTCCGACACTCCTTTGATGCCGACGCCGCCCTCGTCCTCTGCGATCTCGCCGGTGGCTGCGCGGCATGGGCCGCCGTCGGCCTCGGCGCGCTCGCCCTCCTGCTCGAGCGGGAAGGCCGCGGCAGCGGCGCCGGTGTCAAATGTCATCGCAATGCACTTCCCGCACTGCTTCTCACCCTTCGACCCCACGCTGCTCAGCTCCAGCACGCGCTCGAAGGCGTCGAAGCTGAACGCGGCGGGCGACTGGTTGCATGCGCCGGCCTGCGAGGCCGACGCCCGTAGCCGCGCGCTGATCGCGCTGCGCGCGTCGCCCTCGAAGTTGCCGAGGTAGCCTCGGCGAACGCCTTGCTGTTGGAAACGCCGGCCCTTCGGATCCTTTCCGCGTCCTTTGCCCTGGCCTTTGTCACCCTTACTTCCTCTCTCAGTGGGCTTCCAGCAGTCTTGTGCACGATGGCCCTTCTTTCGGCAGTTCCAGCAGGCCACGTTCGAAATGTCCGTCTTCCCTTTTCCGCTGCCAGTCTTGCCCTTGCCATCTCTGCCCTTGCCCTTGCCGCGCTTGCCCTTGCCGTCGCCTCCCCCGACGAACGCGTCGACCTCCATCGGGTCGCCTCTCGACCGACCAAGGGCTCCTTGAGCATGTCTGGTCTCCAGGAGGCCCCTGACCTCCTCTCGCATCGCAGTGTGGTCCTGGAGCCTGGCGCGGGCGAGGGCAACGTGCATCTCGACGTCCTGCGGCGCGAGGCTCTCGAGCGCACTCATCTTGATCTCGTCGTCTAGGTGTACGTCTCGACCGTCGGCTCTGCGCCTCTCGTAGCGCCTGACCAGCTCTACCCATTTCACAACCTCTGCGGCCAAGTTCTCGAGCTTTGCGACCCTGGTCGGCGCCATGATCTTCTTGAGTAGCACGCGGCGGCGACGGCCGCTGGTAGGATCCCAGCGCCGCACTAGCAATCGTAGGGCTTCAGCCCCATTGCCTTGGACTGCGCTGACCACCAGGTCGAAGGACTCGCCCTCCGTGAGCGAGACGAACACCGCGTAGAGCTGCGAGAGCTCCTCGTCCACATTGTCGACTGCCTCGCCGTCCTCGGCCTCACTCACAAACTGCTCCACCGCAGCGGCCGTGGTGAGCGTGACCGCGACGTTCGCCTGGTCGACTGCCCACTCGATCACCGGCCGGAAGTTCACGCCGAAGACACTGAGCACGTAGCTATTGAGCTTCTGGAGCCACTCGCTGAACTTCGGCCCTTCATTCTTGAAGGCCTGTGGCTTCCCAATATCCTTCGCTTGAATCCGCTGGGCCGCCGGTGGCGGCGGCCGTTCTGCGACTCTCTCGAGCACCTCGCCGAGCCGTCTGATGATCTCAAGCTTTTCGGCCTGGTCTGCTTGTCGCTGGAGCGCGGCGTTCTGTTGCCGTAGATCGTGCATGTCCTGTCGAGCCTGTTGCACTGCGTCGCGCATCCCGTTGAACGTCTCTTGGTTGAGCACCATTTCGAAGACCGAACGGCTCAGCTCTCCTGTGATTCTTCACGTAGTTCAAGTACTGCCCGAACTCGTGCCAGTATCCCTTCAGTCCGCTGAACCGAATCAACTTCAGCACAGTCTGTTGCCAGTCATCCTCGACGCCCACCTGAGTCCAACGCTCGTGGGTGTCTGTCGCGGGACTCGTCGTGCCGAACTCCGTCGTCTCGGTCTGTCGTGCCGCCAGTAGCGGATCTCGCGCGCGCTGGCGCACGGGTGTGAAGAGTGGCGGGACTGGGAGCTGGAGCTAGTCCAGCTCCGCTACCATCTTTCTATTTTTGAACCACGATGGACTACAGACAGAGCTCTGGATCACCTCTGGTCTTTCTCTCGTCTTAAACTCCGCTTCTAGATCAAACCCGAAACTCATTTAAGTCCCAGGGAATCTCCGAAACAGGGCGCTGGCCCTAGACATCTGAGCATGTCAAAAATACACCATAATTTTTCGGAGGTCAGCGCGGACTTCTTGGATCCGCGTTGGACCCCCCTCCCTGGCGCGCGGAGCGCGCCGGGGGCGGCGCCGGAGTCGCGAGGCGCAACCAAGGGGGGCCAGGCGCCGATCCACCAAATCCGCGCGCAGCTCTGACAACTTATGCGTGTGCAACTTTGTCGTCGCCGAATCCCTCAACATCTGAATCATCTCATAATTGTCTCCTACTTTGCTGATTCGTTTCACTACTCCTGGCCTTCCAGTTTCCTCCTCCCGGCCTCCTCCTCCTGGCCTCCTGGCCTCCTTCTCCTCCTCCTCCTCCTCCCGCATTCCTTCTCGTTTATATATATATATATATATATATATATATATATATATATATATATCACTTGTCCCTGTCGCACCCCGACGCCAGTTTCTAGGGCGGGCCGGGCGTTTCACCTGAGACTTCCTCCCCATGTATGACCCTGAAGCTTTCAAAGTGACAACAGTTTTACAAATGGAGGGCGGGTGGTTTTCAAAACGTGGCTCTCGCCTTAGCTCTGCGCATATTCGTTTTCAAAATTTGCAAGAGCTTGAGGGCGGGTCGTTTTCAAAATGTGGCTCTCGCCTTAGCGCTGCGCTCATTCGTTTTCAAAATTTGCAAGGGTTTCATCCAAAATGTGGCTCTCGCCTCAGCGCCGCGCACATTCGTTTCATAAATTTGCAAGAGCTTCACAGATATAGGGCGGGTGGTTTTCAAAATGTGGCTCTCGCCTCAGCGCCGCGCACATTCGTTTTTGTTTAAGTTGCAAGAGTTTCACGGATTGGGAGCGGTTCCTTTTCAAAATGTGGCTCTCGCCTCAGCGCCACGCACATTCGTTTTCAAAATTTGCAAATGTTTCACGGATTCTCATGATCAACGTGCCAGAAATGGCATTTTCAAAGATTCCGGATTACGCGAATGCAACGGCTATGTTGATTCGCGGTGTTGAAATCCCAAAAATGGCGTTATGGCACGATTCCGGATCGTCAAAACGCACCAGTCAGGTTGGTACGTGGCGTTGAAATCCCGAAGAATCATGTCTGGCAGATCTTCAAACGGTTGTCTTCCAACGCGGCAGTTCCCTCAATGGACATGAACCGTTGTAGGGGCCTGGAGAGGGAGCTTGGAGGGAGGGTTAATTCCAATATCGTTGATAACTGTTGGGCTTACATTGGTCCTCCTCCTCCTCCTCCTCCCCGCTCCTCCTCCTCCTCCGCCTCCGCCTCCTCTTCGTCCTCCTCCTCCTCCTCCTACTCCTCCTACGCATCCTCCTCCGCCTTCGTGCTCCCGGCCTCCTGGCCTCCTGGCAGCCGTGTTGTCCCCTGCCGCCCGCGCGTGTGCCTGCCTCCCTCTGCTCCGCCGCCACCTCCTGCCCAACCCCCTCCTTCCATCGGGGAAGTAAGCGATGACATAAGCATACAGTCGGACCCAGGCCAGAAGAGCACCCCTCGAGCACACGAGGCTCGACGTCGGCCCGAGCAAACAGAGCATTCAAGGGCACCCCCTCCCCCAGGATGCACAAGAACATCCAAGAAGCACGAAGAACACTGGGGTACCCTCTCCGAACCGACCTCGATCTTACGCCTCGGTTCGACTTACCAATTCGGAGGCCCGCGCGGATTTATCGGATCGGCGCTGGACCCCTACCTGGCGCGCGAAGCGCGCCAGTGGCGGCGCCTGAGGCGCCGCCAAGGTGCTCCAGCGCCGATCAAACGAATCCGCGCGGACCTCTGAGTTGTTATATTTATGTCATTACTTGCTCCCTTTTGCCGCCTCCTCCTTATTCCTTCACTCGGCTTGAACCCTCCGAAGCTGGTCGTACAAGCAACGGTGACGACGCGGGCAAACAACCAGGCGAATGCTCACGAAGCTAACACACCAGCGCGCCGAACGCACTGGGAGCAACGCACAGGTCAGCCTGCCACGTTCGGACCCACACGTCGAATTTTGGCCAGGTGGCCTTGCCCCGCAGCAGCGGCCACCTCCACGCTCCCTCCTGCAGCTCACACGGCCCTCTCGAGACTCCCACGGGCTGCCCGGCTGCTGGGCTGCGCGGGCTCAACCTATGCACTAACCCGCTTTGCACGATCTCCCCCGGGGCCGTAGGCGAGCCGAGGAGGAGGAGGAGGAGGAGGAGGAGGAGGACGAGGAGGAGGAGGAGGAGGAGGAGGAGGAGCTGGAGGAGAAGGAGGAGGAGGAGGGAGGAGGAGGGGGAGAGGAGAGGAGGAGGAGAAGAAGGTAGAGGAGGAGGAGCTGGAGGAGGAGGAAGAGGAGGAGGAGGAGCTGGAGGAGGAGCTGGAGGAGGAGCTGGAGGAGGAGCTGGAGGAGGAGCTGGAGGAGGAGCTGGAGGAGGAGGACGACGGATTGGCCGCTGGCATGTCGGGGTGCTCACAAAAGGCGGGGGATGGCAGGACTCTGCCGTGCGTGCTGGGCCAGCGTGGGCCGCGCCATGCCCGACCTCCTCCTCCTCCGCCTCCTCCTCCCCCGCCTCCTCCTCCTCCGCCTCCTCCCCCGCCTCCCCCTCCTCCTCCTCCTCCTCCGCCTCCTCATCCGCCTCCGCCTCCGCCTCCGCCTCCTCCTCCTCCTCCTCCTCCTCCTCCTCCTCCTCCTTCTCCTCCTCCTCCTCCTCTTGCTCCTCCTCCTCCGCATCCTCCTCCTCCTTGTTGGGCTGGGGGAGCTCGGCTGGGCCATGCTCCACGCTGGGCCGGGCTGGGCCTGGCTGGTCGGGCTGGGACTGGCTCCGGGGTCTGCGCCGCTGGGGCGAAGTCTCGAGGTTCGAGGTCTTCGGATGCTTGTGTCGCTTCTCGGCGGGGTTCCAACCTCGGGACGCTCTCCAGCAGCCGCGCCTCGCCGAGGGCGTTCTGGGGGGTCCTGGATCGCCCCGAACGGCCGCCGCCGGCCCGAGTTATGGCCCGAGGAGGAGGAGGAGGAGGAGGAGGAGGAGGAGGAGGAGGAGGAGGAGGGAGGAGGAGGAGGAGGAGGAGGAGGAGGAGGAGGAGGAGGAGGAGGAGGAGGAGGAGGAGGAGGAGGACTCGGACTCGAGGGTCCGACGCGTCGATGGGCCTGGCCGGGCGGCTGCGCTGCTGGGCTGCTGGGCAGCCGGGGGCGAGGGGCTGTCGGGAGGCCGAGCTGCTGGGCCGCGGGGCTTCTGGGCTGTCGAGCGTTCGGGCCGCTGGGCCGTCAGGATCATCGGGCTGCTGTGCGACGCACAGAGACATACGAATGCTACATATATAGGGGCACAAAAAGTGTCATAAACATAAAAACTCGGAGGTCCGCGCGAATTTCTCGGATCGGCGCTGGGGCCCCCCGGCGGCGCCGCTGGCGCCGCCCCTGGCGCGCTCCGCGCGCCAAAGATGGCAGAGGATTGCGAGGCTTTGAACCAGCCCTAGAACGTTCGAGCGACTTCGTCGCAATGTTCTCTTGTGGCTGCTTGTTCTTCCTCACCCTCTCCATGTTCACGTTCCTCTAGGTTCTAACTTTCGCTCAGTGGTGCCTGATGTACAACTCGTGACATATTGTGGGCCCCGCTTCTAGTACATCGTTTCCCGAGCGGCGTGGCCAGAAAGCGCCCGCCACGACGCATATACTAAAAGACTTCTCGGTGCGCGCGTCGCCCCTGGGGTGGCGACGCACATACAGTATACTAGAACCATCGCGCGCGCTCCGCGGGCGCTCAGGTTCTAGCTGGGCATGCCAGCCAGACTGCAGCAGGTCGAACGGCTGACCAAGAACATTCTGCAAGCGAGGACTCCAGCGGCAACACCTGCTGGAGGCACCGCCTGGGACGGACCCTGTGTAGAGTGTGGACAGTCGGACCAGCTCTCTGGTCGACCCTCTCGGGCGCGCCCTGGGGCTCTCTTGGGCCGCTTTGGGGGGCCCACCGGGGGCCTGCTTGGGTACTTGTTCCGGCCTCTTGGGAGCCTTTTGGGGCTTCTTGGGCACTCATTGGGCGCTTCTTGGAGCCTCTTGGGGACTCCTGGGGGCCTCTTGGGCCAAAACGCTCGAATCTTCGGTTCCTCGTCCCCGTCTTGGGCGCCGACTTGGGGCGTTCTCGGGCGGTGTGCGCGCCTCAAGGGCCGTCTTGACCTCCTCGTGGGCCGTCTTGGAGCCCTCTTGGGGGCATCCTCGACCGGCTTGGGTACCTCTTGGGCCGTCTTGGACGCAGTGGAAGCCCAAAAGGCGAACACGCCAAGAATATCAGTTTTTCTATAGAAAATCTGCATTATTGCTTATTGGGGCTCTGTTGGGGTGCCCCTTGGGGCGTGTTCGGGGTCTCTTTTTGTGTTTTCGCGGGTCACTTGGGGACCTCGTGGAGCTTCTTGGGCGCTTCTTGGAGCCTCTTGGGGTCTCCTGGGGCCTCGTGGGCCAAATGTTTCGCATTTTCGGCTCGTCGTCCCCGTCTTGGGCGCCGACTTGGGGCGTTCTTGAGCTGTCTGGGCGTCCCGTGGGCCGTCTTGACCTCCTCGTGGGCCGTCTTGGGGCCCTCTTGGGGGCATCTTCGACCAGCTTGGGTGCCTCTTGGGCCGTCTTGGACGCAGTGGAAGCCCAAAAGACGAACACGCCAAAAAAGTCAGTTTCCCTATAGGAAATCGACGATGTTTGCTTATTTGGGGCTCTATTGGGGTGCCTCTTGGGGCGTCTTCGGGACCTCTTTCGGTTTGTTTTCGGGTCTCATGGGGGCCTCTCGGGGCTTCTTGGGCGCTTCTTGGAGCCTCTTGGCGTCTCCTGGTGGTCTCGTGACTCTTGGGCCAAAAGGCGCGAACTTCCGGTTCCTCGTCCCCGTCTTGGGCGCCGCCTTGGGGCGTTCTTGAGCGGTCTGGGCGCCTCGTGGGCCGACTTGGCCCCTCGTGGGCCGTCTTGGGGCCCTCTTGAGGGCATCCTCAACCAGCTTGGGTGCCTCTTGGGCCAAAACGCTCGAATATTCGGTTCCTCGTCCCCGTCTTGGGCGCCGACTTGGGGCGTTCTCGGGCGGTGTGCGCGCCTCAAGGGCCGTCTTGACCTCCTCGTGGGCCGTCTTGGAGCCCTCTTGGGGGCATCCTCGACCGGCTTGGGTGCCTCTTGGGCCGCCTTGGACGCAGTGGAAGCCCCAAAGGCGAACACGCCGAATACATCAGTACCCCATTAAGGAAATCGACGATCTTTGCTTCTTGGGGCTCTCTCGGGGTGCCTCTTGGGGCGTCCTCGGGGCCTTCGGGGGCCTTCTTGGCGTCATGGGAGTCGCCTTGAAAGGCGTCCGGAGCCATCGGAGCGCGTTTTGGCAGCGCGCTCAAGGGGGTGGGGGGGGGGGGGGGGCTTCTTAGAAGCAGGCTGCTTCTTGGAAGGCGCCGGCCTCACATCTAGAGATAAGGGCCCGCGCCCTTCTAAGAGGCAGGGGTGCTTCTAGGAAGCCCTCCCCCCCTCCCCCCCCCACCCCCCTCCCCAGACCCCCGACGTCATGATTTTTTCATGACGCGACCCCCAGAGGTCCAGACCCATTCCCCGGGACCGGTTTTTCATCCCGAGTCGTTTTTTGACGGTCCCGAGGCCCGGTAAGGGCCCTCAGAGGCCGAAAATAGCGAAAAAACTCCCGTCGTGACCTTTTCACGACGCGAGGAGGTCTGGGTCTGCGCGTGGCTGAGCGTTTTCGAGCGCTCCGATGCCATCCATCGGGCGACCCTGGACGGCCCCCGCCGCTCCGGCAGGGCTCCCGGCGCGCCGGGCGCCCCACACAGTTGCGGCCGGGGCCCCGGCCCCCGGCCCCGACGGCCCCGGTCCCCCGTTGTGTGTTACCAGCCTGGAAGAGATCCCTATCCCTATGCTGGGCACCTCCTCATCACGAGGCCAATCTCAGGGGTTCCCTTATCTTTGGAGGGCGAGTCCCCAAGACTGTCACATCGCCTCTTGGCGCGTCAATCTCAGTGATAGGGATGCGCTCGAGGCTGGCAGATGTGTATAAAAATGTTGGGGTGGCGCCGATGCTGTGCCGCTGCAGTGTTGGGGCGCTTCGCCGGGCTGGGCTGGGCAGGCCTGGGCCGAGCCGGGTCGGGCCTGGAGGAGAAGGGCCGGGATGCTGGGCTGGGCGTGGCCTGGCTGATGAGATGTTGCTGCTCTGCGCTTGCCTCAAGAAAGCGGGCGGGTGTCCTGACTAAAGCTCGCACTGGCCTGAACTCACGCGCTGGGGAAAGCACCGGTTCTCGCCAAGACTGCTGACGCGGCCCCTCAGTAGCCGAAAGTCTGGTAGAAGTCTGACGGAAGGTATTGCTGCGCGAAGCCAAACACCATTGTAGAGAAGTCTACGGATTCAACACGGCTGGCCCTCTCGTCTGGCCATGTGATCGAGCACCTCCATAGAAATTGTGGCGAGCTCCCGTCGGCAAGATCCTTCTTGTATCTGCATATATTATTGGCGTACATGTGCCGCAACTGGCCTAAGATGGTAGCCGTGCTCGCAGGGTCCGCTTTGAGGAAGCCTGCCATGATGGGTGCCGAAAATGTGAGATTCGCGTTCTTAGATATGCTATTTGCTTCGTACTTGGGACCAGGTGCTAAGCCAGCTCCCAACCCCCAAACTTTGCCGTGCAAACTGTTGGACGACGGAATTGCAAGCTCCCAATATTTCATGTCTGCTCCCATGGCAGCCTTGAACTTGTCGAGATAGAACGTGCTCTGACCGAACGCTGCGGTCAAGAAATAATTGAACTGCACGTGGAATGAGGGGATGAAGCCGTCTTGATCCGACAACACCTGAAATCCATGATACGGATTGAGCTTCGGGAATTCACCGTCTCCTGGTGGAGGTGAGCTGGTACCGAAAAAAACTTCGAAATACCGCGCTGCCAGCGCAAGATTTGCATTTGTAGCGCTTGGGTGTTGCAACTCGGCTTTCGTCGCCAGATACGCCAGAAGGTAGTATTCATTAAAAGGCTTCAGAATGCCCTCCAGCATTTCACCGCTCTGGCTCGCCGACAGATACATGATGGGCTCGAGACACGCGTCGCACGGCGGGTTGGAGCATGTTGTCGGAAAGTCCAAACCTCCGTCGTTGCAATCGTGAGCGTTCAAGTTCAAGCATTTGTACATGCGCTGGAAGTCGTGGTAGGTCGCTTGCGAGAGGCTGACGCCTGAAATCAAATACATTTTCTTTGCATACGCCGACTGGTACCACGGCTCGTTCTTCCCAGCACTGTGGCCCCAAGCAATATGGGGTGCGCAGGCGCTTGGAATTGTGCCTTGAGCGGTCGCAGCAGGAGGTTCGGTGCCTTTGATACCCGCAGTCCATTTCGTCAACCTTACGAGCTCCAAGGCGTTCGTCTGGACTTGGCCTTGGAAAAACTTCCCTGCGAACAGCGCACCCAATGCACCGATTGCGGTATCAATCGTGGAATACTCGGCCGTGGGTTGAAAGGCTCGGGTTGTAAAATGCTGGAAGAAGCCCTTGCCATTTTCTCTGGGCCAGTTGCTCTTGACCGAAGCAATCGTCTGCAACACGCGTGCCTCCGCAGCAGGCTTCGTTTGCAGGCCGAGCTCCGCAAAGACGCACTCGGCAACGAGGCCCATGCCGACGGATGCGAGGCTGTAGAAATGATTGCCAGGCCCGCAGACGGTCGTGCCATCCAGACCCGCCGCCGCGCCCACGGCACGACGGGGCGCGTTGGAGCGTGACTGGGCAAGGCAGGAGCAGGAGGCCGGAAGCGCACGGGGCGGAGAGGACGGCGCGGAGGAGGGGGGGGGAGCGGGGGGAAGAGGAGGGCTTATTTCTGAGCTCAACGCTCCAGGCCTCCAGATCCCCCAAAGTGAAGGGGGCCCCAGGACACACAAACACATTCACACAAATAAACAGATTCCCAATGTTTTCCCATATTTGGGGGGCTTTTGTCTTCCCCCCCACTTCCCATATTTTCCCATATTTTCTGGGGAATCGACGATTAATTGAGTCTGTGTGTTTCTTTCCCTCCTGACAAAGGGGCTGGCCGCTGCGGCGGGGGAAGCGGCGAGGGGACGAGGAGGGCGAGGCTCTGGACAGGGAGAAAACCAGGGAGGACCTCTACCAGACATGGCCGACTCGGCGGCCAGCGGGGGGGGGGACAGGGCACTCGGAGAAAAACAACGCGGGCGACAGCGTGGAGGACAACGAGGACGAGGCAGAGGACGACCAGGAGGAAGAAGGAAAGGAAAAGGAACAACAACAAAAAACATGAGAAGACGTGGGAAAATGCTGGTCCTTGGAACCTTTCTGGGCTATCCTGGGGCTGCCAGGACGGTGTGGGATTAGTTA